GAGAGGGCTCCAGCCGCCCCTCTGCTCTCCCCGCGAAGCGCCCCGGGCTCACGCCGCCGCGGGCGGTTCTCTCTCTCCCCCTCTGTCGCAGCGCCCTCGACCTGGTCCCGTTCGGGATCAAACCCCTCCTCAGGCGGGCCGCAGCCTACGAGGCCCTGGAGCGGTACCCGCTGGCCTACGTGGACTACAAGACCGCGCTGCAGGTGGACTGCTCCGTGCAGGCAGCACACGACGGCGTCAACAGGTAACGCTGCCCGCGGGGAGCACCCAAAGGCTTGGCGCTAGAGCAGCGCGGGCAGCGGCCTCGGCAAGCTTTGCGTTGTTCCTGCAGCCGTGGCGGGAGCAAGCCGGGTCCCTCGCACACAAATGAAGTAGCCGAGGCCTCTGATGTTTCGTGCAAGGCCTGGCCACGCTGCCTTTGTCTGCTAGCGCCCTTAGCTCCTTTCAAGATGTTGGTTGAGGGCTGGGAGTTAACTCCCTGGGACTGGTTCTGCTTTGCTCAATGCCTGGTTTAAAAGGAAATAATAAATTACGAGTTCCAGTGCCCTATCCTTTAAGCCTCCCTATGCTGACTGGGTTTACAGGCTCTCTTCCTCGAGCTACCCACTTCATTGTTTGCCAGACTGAGGAGCAACACGCATATCTCTTGCTCACCTGAGCACTGACAGTCCCAGCCTTTGCCCTGTGATATTTTTAGCACTGATGACTTAAAGTCCTTTCTCTAATGTCCTGTCTCTAGAAGCAACTTAGTTTAGATGCACGTTAAGGCGTTAGTGGAGAGGTGCTGTCCTCAATACGTAATCCAGGTTAAAAAGTGACTCTACTGGCTACTGCGTGGCCCATCAGCCACCTGCTGGGGTGACTGGCAGCCATCTCTTCCAGGATGACTAAAGCTCTGCTGGAGAAGGATGGTGTGAACTGGCGCCAGAAGCTCCCACCTATCCCCACAGTCCCCATCTCTGCTCAGACAAGATGGAGCATTCCTTCTGCCGCAGTCCCTGGAGCAAACACTCCTCCTGCAACTGCACTGCAGGGACAATCAGGTGAGAGCATGCCCTGGGCTGGGCACAGAGCCCTGCAGCTCAGAAGGGTGATGAACAAGACAGCTGCCATGCCTGCTTGGCATGTCCGCAGCTGGGGCTGAGACGTGGAGAAACCTGGGCTTGGTTCTGCTGCAGCCTTTTTGGTTGATTCTGGATACTTTGATGTCCCTGTGTCTCACTTCTGCTATGGGGATATTTGCTTTCTGAGAGGCTGTGCTGATCTTGACAATTTATAGTGTTCTGTATTCTTTCATGCTGTTTCCAGACCAGACTACTGCTGGCATGGAGAGAGCTCGAACTCTGAAGGAAGAAGGAAATGAACTTGTAAAGAAAGGAAACCATAAAAAAGCAGTTGAGAAATACAGTGAGAGTTTAAAGCTTAACCAGGAATGTGCGACTTACACCAACAGGTACTACTCAGCTCTTTGCCCAGGTACTTCTTGACCCTGTATAAAAGCCACTGTGGTACTTCAGATAGAGCTGTCTGGTGTTTGCTCCCAAACAAACAAATGAAACAAAAACACCCTCACATGTTCACCCCAAGTGTAGTCTTCCATGTAGCTTGTATAACATGTTTTGATCAGGTACTGCAAAAACCCTTGGAGACACTCAGCTTAGGGCTGCTAAGGGATTTCTCCCTTTAATGCTTGTCTGCCAGGACTGTCTTATTTTGAGTACTGTCTGCTGCCCCAGGAACCACAAATTGCAGACTGCTGTACTAAAAGACTTCTAAGTACTTCTAAAAGAAGTAGAAGTACTAAGTTTAGTACTTCTAAGGCACTTGAGCAAGCAGAGCATGTTCTGGAATGGTATATGTAGGAACCTGCATCTTTGAAGTGCTGATTCTTAGCTTGAGAGCAGATAAATCCTTTTTTTTTTTTTTTTCAAACTGAAAAACTGTTTCCTTTCTTCCCTCTTTATAAGTAAACCAAACTTGAGCTCAAGAAGATGAAAATGTATGGGGATAAGGACTGGTTCCAGCTTTGTGTTGCACTGGATTTAGCTGAGATCTTACTACATATGTTGCAGCAGTAGATGCTGCCTTTAGCCAGAGGTCTCTAACCAGGTGTCTGTATTGCAGAGCTCTCTGTTACCTGGCTCTGAAGCAATACAAGGAAGCAGTACAGGACTGCTCGGAAGCTCTGAGGTTAGATCCTAAAAATGTTAAGGCACTCTACAGACGTGCTCAAGCACTTAAAGAACTGAAGGTAAGTAAGGAGTTCTTGAACTGTTCATGCATGATCAGGGCCAGACATGCCCTTTAGAACTTGTTTCTGTGCTAGACAGCATCTGCCATCAGATAGCTGAGGCCTGTATGGACTTAGTGATGCAAAAAAAAAAATCCCCTATTTGCTGTTTGGATCTCATGAGTTTCTCAGCATCAGGTTGTGTTTCTAGAGATGGTGAAAGCAGCTACATGTTGTGTTGAGCTTTATTTTTTTATGTCTGTCAAGAGATTCTGTAGGTAGTACTAGATGACCTATTGCATTGGTTTTAGACTCAGAATCCACTTGAGTGATGAAATTGTCTTCTCAGCCCTAGTTTAAGCATGTTTTAGAACAGCTACATTGATGCCAGTGCTTAAGCAATTATAGAGGGAGTCACAGGCTTAGTTGTGTTGCCTTTGCCTCTGTTCTTTGGTAGTAATTCTACAGTCTTAGACTGAATTTTTAATGCACTTAAAAATGTTCTCCTTCTAGGATTACAAATCAAGTATCGCCGATATCAAGAGCTTGTTGAAAGCTGAACCAAAGAACACCGCTGCACTGAGATTACTGCAAGAACTGAACAGAACCTAGAGTAACCAAGCAACAAGGAAAGCTTTGTTTTCCACTGCAGAAGAAAGCTTTTTCCCTTCTGATATTGTTACAGGGACCAATCTTAATGCAGGATCGGTATTGAAATCTATCTTCTGCTGCTGAGATATAACAGGTTCTGTGCTAGCACAATGAATGTTAAGACACACAATCTGTATCAAACTCTTATTATCTGGCTCTAAGATCATTCAGAGTTTTAATACCCCTCCCCAAGAGGCATATAGGTTAACTTCCCTGGTTGAAGTCAACTTGCCTATAACTACTGGCCTCAGGGATGCTTTCCATGTTGGCTAAGATGCATGTGAAGTGGCTATTCTCTTTCTGAAGAGCTACAGAGGTTTTTTTGTCCTTATTCAGGTGACAGTTTTGCTGCGTTTGTGCTGCTATTACTTAAATAAGGTTGCTGCAGGAACTGCTGCAGTTGCCCTAGCACCACATACCATTCTTAGAACAGTTACTTGCACAGGGCCAAGCTTCTTCCCTCTCCCACTTGATGCCAGCTGGCCCTCAGCTGAGTTTCTGCTGCTTAGTGTGGCTGGGCAGATGTTTACAGTAGCAGCTTTATTTTTAATTATTCTGCACCTTTAAGAAAACAGCAGCAAATTAAGCCAGCCTTGTTACACTGTGCACTACTTCTTTCAGATTCTGGGTGCTTGGGAATTTTACAGTTGTGTTGGGTTTTTTGTTTGTTTTTTAAAAACCACTTTAGCTCTTCTGTGCCTTTTGGAGCAGTTGCTACAGGGTGTTACAGGGAGGACGACAGGCTAGTAACACCCCAGCTGAAGTCTGGCTTACTTCAATGCATGTTTATACTTTGTGATCTTCTTATCTGGTATTGATGGCACTGACTTAAAATGGAGTTGTTCTATGAACTGTTAAAACCAGTTCTCATTAAAGCCATGTTTATTTTCACTTTAGGGCTGTGTTTTTAATGTGATGAAGGGTATAAAGGAACTAAAACACTTTAACCACTTCATACTGTCCCCCCGCTTTTTGTCAGAGGCCTCCAAGTGCTGCTGTGCAGTGCCTTGCTCTGTCATACACTGACAGTACATGGGGTTTCTAACCCTTGCTTGGCCTTGCACTCTACCTATCCATAGGTAGAGTGCTTCAACTAGTAAGTCAAGATGCTAAGGAACACTAGACCTGAGCCAACCTGCAGTACAGACCAGGAGGCAGCAGCTAGCCCTTAAGTCAGGGTTCGAATATCTTTGCTTCCCACCTTGCTTCTCCCAGCAGTCTGTTTCAGGCAGGTGCCCCACTGAACTGAATTTAAGCAAGCAGACCCTCTAATGGCATTAAAGACAAAGACTTCTTACACCTTAGCCTGACATTAATTAGCTTTCTGTAGGTCCCAGAGCTGTACTCAGTCAGCCGTAATGGGCCAGGGCTTGAAGCAGCTCCACCCCAAGGGACCCAAATTGCTCCATTGCTCCGCTCCTACTTCTGAGCTCCATTGATCCTGCAACCAGCACTTGCCCAGGCTCTTAGCAAGTAATTGTGATGGATTTCAGGGTGGGGAAGCACAGGCTAGCAGTACACAGATAAGCAGAGGAAGGTCACAGAATGCAGAAGGAAGACTGGCTTCACTAAGTTAAGAGCTATCCCTTTAAACAGCCGTGCTGTTATCTGGAGTGGCAGATACCTGCCCTGTTCAGCTACAACTCATTACAACACCTCTAAGGAGCAGCATTCACCATCTCTTTTCCCTCTCAGCAACAGCAATGTGCTTTTGTACCTTATCTCCAAGACTTTCCCCAGCAATACCACCAAGTAGACAGATCAAGCACAGCAACAAGACACATTACTTCAAGCTCAGGACTGCTCCTGTCTCCTGTTCCAGCAGCAGTGCTGCTGTCCACGCAGACACGCAAAAGGAGTGCTGTCCACAGGGGCAGCCAGAGACTGTTTGTCTCAGAGACACACCTTCACCCACCCCTTTCAAAAACCACAGCAACTATTCCAGACTGAAGACTCCAGATTTGCATTGCTGCTCCTGCCTCAACTCCCTAAAGCCTCAGACTCCCCCAAGGAGTTCAGCCAGGGAATTACTCAGAAAACTTTCCAGTATCCTACAAGATAACATGGGGATCTAAGCTCCAACTTCACCTTTTTGAAAAAGGCCTTGGTGCTTGTCCGCATCCTTTTTTAGGCTATTCTGATGTCCCTGTGTTCCTGGGCCCCACCCCACATACCCTCTAGCTTTACAGCCAGCTTCTCCAGCCAAGCCATCTGGCATTGTAGGTGGTGTCCCAGGCACATCCAAACTGCCCTGTTACATCTGAAAAAAGGTTACAGACAAGCTAGCCAACAGCAGAATGAAGTTTACTGCTACAGTTCCAGTCCATCTCTTTATATGCATTACACTCATGCAAACACACGTTTTTCTTGTAGAGACAAAGCATAAAAGCTTCCAGCCAGTTACACTTTGGAAGAAGTGACAACTTAAATGAAGGTCCTGTATATTAAGTGGATTAAAGTCCTTTATAAGCATGTCACCAAGAAGGAGATATCTAAATGATGCACAATTCAAGCTGAAGCATCCACCATGAAGAAAATAAATATTTAAGGAGGTCAGAGAAAGAACTGGCAAAGTAAAGGCAAAAAAAAAAGGAATGAGGGAAAGCCCCAGGGAAGAGTCCCAGCTGAGCAGAGCAGACACCATGCAGGAGCAAATGTGTAAGCAATTCTATTAAAATGCTGGAAGGAAAACAAGAGGTAGGAGGGATGACTCAGCAGTGAGCCGAAGTGAGAGTATGATACAGCACAGAAGGAAGATTGAGACAGCAACACCAGCACAAGTTGGACAGAAAGAAGGTAGGTGGTGCTGACAGAGGCATGCTCCTGTCAGCGCAAGGAAGCAGTCAAGTAAGGTCAATACATCGCTGGTCTCAAGTACCAAGCAGCCTCTAAGGGACTGAAATTCCTTTCCTAACTAGGAAGAGCAGAGCATTAAAGCCAAGATGACAACAGCAACACACTCTAGGAGAGGCCCAGAGCAGGACACAGTAATAATACGTCCCAGCTATTGCAAGCAGGGAGTGTCCCAGTGGGATATGATGTGGTCATGAATGGTTTCAGGCTCATCAGTGACTCCTTGAAACCACTGGTCATGACCACACATCGGAGAAGCAGCTTTTGATTTACAACTGCTCCACAATACTTAAAAAGCTGGGTCTTGTGCATCAGACATACACATGGGGTGTGGTGACCAGCAGAAGACACTCGGTGTCAATACTCCTGCCAGTGTACAAGGTCCATTACAGAGGAGAAACACAGGAAGATGATGCCATTCAAAAGGAAATTAAGACCTGCTACCTAGAAAGGATAAAATCCAGGTAGATCATATGAAATTTGCTTCAAGCCATCCTCCTAGAGAGTCAGAAAGGTTGAGGAGAGCCTGTTGTTTGGCAGTTTATTTAATCCTATATGCCTCTTCCTGTCAGCTCTCAGGACTGCCACCCCACCAGCATCACAAGCCTCAAACACTGATTACAGCAGCCTGAGCCATGTCCATCCCTCCACCAACAGAGAAAAAATGTTTGCAACCTTTCTGCAAAGGGAATTAACCCATGCTCTTGGGATGGAAGCATCAGTTCTTTATTAGTGTCAGCTACAGGAACAACTACAGAACCCAGTAAACTCACTAAAAATGATGATTCATCAGCACTTGTCATTTCCTGGGCAACTGAACTAGGCTGGGTTCCACGCTACATTTCACAGGACGCTTTCAGTAGCAAGAAGAGAATTAACACGGGGATTTTTTTTACGGGTGCAGGAGGAAAAAATTCTGCAAGGTTTACAATACACACAGAAAAATAGGATGGGGCATTGAAGACAGGCCAGGGTCACTGTATGGGCACAATTCCAAAAGCACAGTGGGATTGCTGCTGCTGTTCTTCAATTACAATGTTCTCAGGGCTTGCTCCCAGGCCTGAAGTCTACAAAAAACACCCCGAAACCCCACAAATTAAATTTTTGATGGCTGAAGGAACAATTTCATCCAGACAAGAATTCACCTGAACTTGCATTAAAACAATTTCCTTGCAATTGCAAGTCAAGAAAATACTATCTTCAAAGGGGTATGTGAGTCTGAATTGCTTGTTAATGGGTCTGTCCCACCCACAGCAGCAGAGCCAGCTATCCTGACCATGCCCACACAGGACTACACACATTTTATGGGTATCTACTATCACTGTTCTGCAAAAAACACTGGGAGATCCCAGAAGAGGTTGTGCCAGTCCCCACTAGACCTACAGAAAGGCAAGTTCTGTCTGATCTTCCTTTCTGTTTGTACAGTCATTGCCCTCATGAACATAGGAAAACAAATCACAAAGAATCACATCTCTGCAGTACAATCAAGTCTGGAAAATAAAGGATGCAATTTAAAAAGTGGAATATTGCAGTTAAAGGTACTTACATTGCTCATCAAGCCATACTTGGTCTGGACAAGAAACCCAGTCCCCAGTTTCAGAGTCAGAAACCAGAGACCCTGAGCACAACATGCACACGCCAACACCTGCAGCAGCTCCTGCACCTACCGGGGGTCACTGCAGGAACGCTGTAGCGCTGCTCTTGTGCGAGGTCTCGGTAGCCTGGTGTGCTTGGAGAACAGCGACTGCCTCCTCGATCTTACAACAGAGAGCACAAGAAGGGGCAGAAGGTGAGTTGCTCCAATATAGGAGCACACTGCACAAGAAATGCAATATTCCAGGTCCCAAACTGGACTCTGCACAGACACGCTTCCAGGAGGTAAAGGACTTTAATAATAATAAAATCCAAGTCTGCTGCTCCTGCAGGAGACTGATTAGCCTAAAGACCTCTTCTGTCTCTTCCCTAGGGAAATGCTGGGGCATCCCTCCTTTTCTATAGGAGTCAGAACTTGCCATCGAGAAATCAAACTTTTCTGTAGGTAAAGCTGCCTGACACCACTCTGCAGAGCCCAGCATCGTTTAAAAAACATCAATGAAAAGATGAAAGTGAATCCGAGAGGCAACAAGGAGATGCAGTCGATTTACTGCAACTGTTTTGATGGGAACCAAAGCTAAATATTCACCAGGATTAAGGAGGAAAATGAAGAAATATTGCAGAGAAGTAGTGTTTATCTAGTTTCTACTGTCAGGAAAGAGCATCTCCCCATCTTATTCCAGGGAGAAACACCCACCCTGCTTTTCCCCTCTCACTTCCCAGCCACCTCCACACCACCCTCAGAGCTTGGCCCATGTTTTCAGGGAGCTGTTCTGAGCCTCTCCTTTTGCTGAAGGCAGGCAGATGTTCAGGCCTGGGGTGTGGTGCTGTCAACCTGAAGTCCTTTCTGCTCATTTTTCATTTAAAAAAAAAAAAAAAAGCAGCTACCTGCATTTCCCATGGCTATCAGTGTCCTTAGCCCAACTTCTGGGCCACATCCACCTCTCCTTGCAGCAGCAGGTAGTTAGTGCTTTGGAATGCGAGTTCTTTGGGCACCAAGTGTCCCTACCTTGGAGTGCAAGGAGTCAGGGGACTCCAAGAGCAGCAGCAGCTCAGAGTTGTCTATCTCCAGCAGCATCCCAGTGATCTTGCCAGCCAGCGAGGGATTCATCGCATGGATCAGAGGGTAGAGGCGTTCACCTGTTCCAAACACCAGGGAGCACATCAGCACTATGCAAAACCTGCAGGATTTTTAAACCCAGTGCAAGCACTCTTGCCCTTCCAGCTCTGTCCTTTCAAGTGGTGGAAGGGCAACCTTTCAAAGGTGGTGATGGTGGTGGAAAAAAAACCCAAAACAATCACTGCTCACAAGCAAACCTACTCCAGCATAACACAACAGTGTTTGCAGGCAGGGAGGCTGCCAGGTGAAGCCAGACAGCAGCAGGACCTGCCACAGGAGCAGGGCAGGGGAATGGCAAGCGCTGCCCACATCTGCCCACCAGCGTGCTGG